GAAGTAGCAATTCACAGGCTGAGGGTAGATCCTGAAGCTGCACCCGTGAAACAAAAGAGAGGATACATGTCTTTGGACATCAAGCTTTACAAAAGAAGTTACAATGGAGTGCTGCTAAAGTGCCTGAGGCCAGACCAGGCTCAGGAAGTAATCAAAGAGTTACACGAAGGGATATGCTCATCACATCAAGGTGCATTTACTCTAGGTAGAAAGGTTATCTTGCAAGGGTACTTTCGACCAACCATGATAAAGGACTGCGCGGACTTCGCACAAAAGTGTGAGGTCTACCAGAAGTTCCAAACAAGCCCAGGCAGGCATACCACCATGTATATCCCCATCAGCACGGCAATCCCCTTATCGAGGTGGGGAATAGACCTCGTGACTCCCTTTCCACAGGGCTCGAGAGGTCGGAAATTCTACCAGTACGTATGTAATTTCCTTTCGGCATGAGTCTTTAATCAAAGTTTTGTTTTCATTCATGAATTGTCCTTATACATTACTTGCGAAGGTTTCTTAACCAGAAAAAAAAACAGCAAGAGCGGGAATAAAGTTCAACTATGCCTAATTGGTACACGCAAAAAGACAAAGTACAAATTCCGAACTCATCTAAATTCCAAAAGCTCAACTTAGTTTTTCTTAAGACAAGAGCAGGAATAAAACAACATATCTCAAGGTTAGACATCCCTACAAACAAAATCAAATTTCCTTAAACAGGAAAAGACAACCTCTCTCAAGGTTAAGACTGATTTTACAAGGATAAAGATGAAATCGGAGGAATTAACTTTGCACCGGAGAGGTTCACAAGTCTCGCAAATTAAGAGGCTAATCACTAAGGTCAAAGTAACCTAAAGTGAAGCCCACCCAATATGGCTCAACTATTAAGAGCCTAAGGGTTTAAAATTGGTAATGTCATCCTTAACAAAGGAAAGACGACCTTGACCGGAAAATCAAGGCAAAAATATGCTATGGACAGAAGTGATTGAAAACAAGTGACTAGGAAGGCCTGGAAGCCATCCCAGAACTTATGAAGTACACAGGCTCAAAGTCAGAGGTCAACTCCCTAAAGGATGAAAGATCCAAAGGAAGAAGCCAACCCAAAGAAGTCCGGAAACCTCAGACGGCATTAATGTATCAAACAAACAGGTCAAGCAATCAACAAAGATGATCAAAAAGCGGTAACGTATATGTACGTGCAAAAGATAAAGCTGAAGCTAAAGATGTTTGAATTACAAAGCTACCCTATTGGTGGAAAACACCAACAGGCACACAGGCCTGGAAATATGTTTGTAGAAGTGTTTTTAGAAGTCAGATGAATTACCGGATTGAGCGAGAGGAACTTCAGAGGCTGGAGCGGATGGGACTGAGCTCTCTTCAGCAGCCCCCAGATTCTTCATCAGCTTCGAAAGCCCCCAGGCCTGGGCAGAGAAGGATGAGTCTCTTTTTTGTAGAAGATCATACAGGGATTTCTACATTTTGAACCGTCCCAGCTGGAAGCACAGGGCCCCTCCTCATCCAACCAGGCCTCACCTTCAGGGGTCTGGAGCCAGTCCTGGGCTATCTGCGCCCGACAACCTGAAACAATATGCTCCACCTCAGCCAGGAAGTCTGCACTCCCCCGGAAGGCCTGAACAACAGCAGGGTCAGCCTCCTCAGCTTTCCTCCTCAGCTCTTCCTCCATAACCCGATGCGCATCCTTAATATCACCCAGCCTTTTCTGCAATGTTTCCCCTCTCAGCATTGCCGCTTCCAGCCTCCTCTCGAGCTCTGCAGTTTGCTCCTTAAGGCCTGCCATTAGGGTTTGAGCATCATTTTGCCCTTCGTCCAAACGACGGGAACCGGAGGAAGGCAGAATGAAGGCCTGGAAATAGTGAATCGGGAGTATGAAAGGGAGACGAACCGGGAATCACAAATTAAAGACGAAGAATTTTGGCTAAGTCAGAATTGAAGAAAAGTGAAAGCTTACACATACTACAGATCTGAAGCTAAGTGCTGTTTAACTTTAAAATTTATATTTTATCTGTTACTAAGTATTACAATTCCAAAAGTCAATTTTATATTATCAAATTTAGACTATGAACCCCGAATGGCTAGTTGAGTCCTAGACATGGGTCACGCTCTACTAAGCACAGGAATCTGTATTGTTGGGATTTTGAGGCCATTTACTTAGGCACAAATCCAATGGCAAACTCCAGAAATTATCACAATTGTATTTAAATGCGTAGGTACACCTCGATAAGGACTATCATACTGATCTCTCAGGCTTGTCTCGGTTATCTACCAAGCGAAGATGGTGCCATGAACAAAACGGACCGGATGCACCAGGCGGTCATTGTAACTAAATACATCGGCCAAAGGGTCCACCCTTTTGCTTGATTTTGGAGGCATCCGATGTACTCTTTTTCCCTCGCTAGGATTTTTTCCCATTGAGTTTTTCTTAGTGAGGTTTTTAACGAGGCACCTCCCCATTGTGGATAAAAGATGACGACCCTCAACCCCTGGAGGAGTCATTACGAGGCATTCACTACTCTACTCCTTTCCATTTCGCCAGAGCCCGCCTCGAATGAAGAATTTCAAGAATAAGAAAGGAATCAAATTACTCTCTTTCGTTGAGTCTGGTCAGCTCAAGAGAGTAGGGGGGGCTCGTGATGGTACCATGGATCATTACCATGGCCCAATATTGAATTAAAGCAAAGCCCATCAACGGGATCAGCCCATCAATGGGATCAACCCTTCACAGGATTAATATTAGTTAGCCACTGGGCCTAACTAGGGATCCAGCCCACAAAAGGAACCCACATCCAAGCTAGGCTGGACATCAAACCTCGAGCCTAGGCGGAGTTCTAGTCCACAACTAGGCTGGACAACAGACCTCGAGCCTGAGCGGAGTTTTAGTGAGGCCAGGATATTCTAGTGCTTACGTAGCAGGCTATTATTCCAGCATAGTTATCTAGCAACAGCAGGAACGTTACAAGAGTCCTATTCGAATTAATATGCGATTAATAGCATTTAATGTATCAGTCTCATACTAGAATACTAGTTCTTGTAACCTATAAATACTCTTGTACATCTCTTGTAAAGGGAGCTTTTCTCGATTAATAATACAGCCATTACTTTCTTTCCTACGATCATGAATATTTGATTGATTAAACTCTTCTCGCTGGAATTATATTCTATCAATTCTCATTTCTCACGTTAAGAAGTATTCTCATTTGATCCTTACTGTTGGTCCTGTTCACACAAGGAACAGTCTAGGGGGGTGAATAGACTGTTCAAGTTTCAAACTTTTTGTCTAATTCTTAACAGACTTGACAAAGAAGGTCTTGTTCTGGTATCAAAACTGGACCTGACAACGGATAATTTGGTAGCAGTTCTGGTCGGGTAGCCTTCAGAAACACACTAAGGCAAATGCCTCTCTGATAACTCTTATGACAAGATCTGCTGAACACAGAGTCCAAGTCTTTGGGAGTTAAGCAGTTAAAATCTAAGTGCAGGAAAGTAAATGACACCGGGGTTTTTATAGTGGTTCAAGGAACAACGTGTTCCTCTAGTCCACTGTTCCACTAAGCTTGTAAAAACAACAGTTTACAATGCCTTAGTCCTAGAACTTAAGAATCTATCCTCATCTTCTTCAAGTGTAGATATCTCCTGGGATGCACTTCCTTGCTTCCTTTAAGACTGGCCCTTTTCACTGAGTTTCCTTGAAGTACCCCCACTTCACTACTCCAGTTACTATGGACGTCCTTCTTTGAAAAGAAGATTGTTCTATAAAAAACAGAGGTTTCTCCAACTTGCTTCGTCACAAAAGATATGTAGATGAAGTGTTTGAAGTGTTGAAGAACAGGAGGAACTTTGCTCTTTTGTTGGAATAGGAAGATATGAGAGTATTATCTTTCCAACGTAAAACTTTTCTTGTTGAGGAGGATGAAGTTGATATCTCAAGAAAGCTTGTTTGAATGCTATAGAGAGAAAAAGTTATCTGGTTGTTTTTCGTGTTGTATCATATATAGTAGGGTTTTATTCCCGTTGGAGGAGGGAGACAACTGCATTAAATGCGCGTACTGTAGACTTGACCGGTTGATCTATAAAAAGTAGCCCACTTGCTATTTTGGGGGCGCGAATATCTTTTCCTGGTCAATCATCAGCTTTAAATATCTCAACGTGTGAAGCTCATTAACTGAGCATTAAATGCGTGAACAGTAGCATGTTCCGTTGAGAAGCTCATAACTGTTAGGGAATTTCCCGTTAGTTTAATGATTATTTGAAGTGCCTTCGAATTCTTCTAAGTGTCAGCAAGTCTGATGAGCCTCTCTCATAGCAACTCTGATGGTCGGCTCTGATGGCAACTCTAGTGCCTAGCTCTGTTAGCATCTCTGATGAGCAGTTCTGGTAGCAGCTCTGATCAAGAGATCCAAGAAGATTTCTGGCCAGTTGACTATGCAATTACTTACACAAAGAAAATTCTAATACCAGATTTCTAAAGGGATACTCTAATATCCTAATTAATTTAACATCATCAAAATCTAAATACAATTTATTCCTTACACTTACAATAAATATATATATATATATATATATATATATATATATATATATAGTAGTTTTCTAGTGCGTCCAGCCGCACCAGAGAGGCCGTCCGGCCGACGGCGTTTGGCCGCCTTTTCGGTGGAATTTTTTGATGAAATTTTTATGTCATGTTCTTCATGAAGTCTAGTTTATTTACCAAAAAAATCAGCTAAAAACTCAATCAGGAAGGTCTTCAAATGATTTTTTGAAGTTAACTGTGCAAAATTACACACAAAAAACGCAGTCAATTAGATCCACAAACACAAATATCACACAATTAAACCCATGAACCACAAAAAACGAATCAAATCCTTGTTTTACCCGGTTAATATCCGGTTGCCAGTTAAAACGTGTGTGTGGCACCCCCGCTTTTAATTTTTCTTTTTAATTTTGCGCCCTTTTTCTCTTTCTTTCCTTTTCTTTCTCTTTTTTTTTTGATGAAATGTAAGTATATATATGAACACCCAATAAGTAACATTTTACAATGCATCAAAAACAGACCTCAACGGATATCTAAGCTAGAAAAACTAACCTAGATATAATAATTCATTTAGAAAAGGGGCAGCCCCCACATCACAAGATCAACATTTCTAAAAAATCTAAAATGAAGTATCATTTTACTTTCATTCCGATTAGTCTTTCAAGTCGTCTTTTATACTTCTCGTCTGACTCACCCTTTATTCTTTTGCTTCTTCCCTTTTTATTATTTTTGTTGCCATTTTGGTTCGATGCAGCAGCAGGTTCCAGCGCATCTTCCATCCCAGCAGCTGTTTCCCGTGCAATAATAGCAACTTCCGGCGCAGCGGCTTCCATTCCAACCTCCCTTACCTCGATCTCGATCTGTGCCTGACTAATGTTCCCAGCAGCTTCTTTATCCGCAGTAGCTACACCCAGGAAATTATCTATGGCAGTAACCTCCAAATCAGTAAACGCAGCTGCAGTTTCCAAGGGATACACGTCAGCAGCAGCAGCAGCTTCAAAATCCATAGTTTCAAACGCAGCAGTAGCTACCACCTCTGGAACGTCCTGGGCAGGAACTTTCTGGGCAGAAACTTTAGCCTTCTCAAACGCAGTAGCATCCAAATCAGCAAATTCAAACGCAATTCCAGTTTCCAACACAGCGGCAGGTTCTTCCTGAGGTAAAACTTTGGCCTTCTCATCGCCATTATTTGACAGAATTTTGCAAATAAATGGGGGGTGCCCATAAGTCTTACAATGGAAAGCAAAAATTTGGAAATGTTTGATACACCACAAATTGTTTAACTACCTTCCGGGAAGTTAGTCGAATAGGAAATGATAGCGACGGTGGTTTTGAAATATCAACTTCAATTAGCACTCTAACAAAGTGGTGATTAGACCTGTCATGTGTAACTTTGTCCGTAGTTAACGGGACACCGACCATAAATGCAACCTCACTTAAAGCATCTTGATTTCAAAGTTTCATGTGTAAGTTCAGAAATTTAATCCAAATAGGGACTTTGAGAAACTCTTCATCATCAAAGGAAAAATCATCCGATAGTGCTTTTAATATAAGTAATTTCCCAAAAATGGTGTAAGGTCCCTCCCTCAAAACTTTTGTCCTATCATCCTCACTTTGAAACTTAAAAATAACTCACCCCTTATCATGGGGCTTAATAATGCACTTAACACCCCAAGTGTTCTTCAAGTCATAAATAGCTTTAAGATCAGGAAATTTTCCGGTGAAACATCCAACCAAGCAAAAACCCCACATTTCTACCATGATAGGCATAATTCTATCGGAAAAATCAATGGATGTGCTAGTAGGCGGGATGTACCTCAATTTAAAGTCATTCGAAGGAGCTCGATCGTCCTTGAATAGGGAGGACCAAGGTGTAGCATTCCCTGGTTAGCTGCAGTAGTTACTGCCAACTTAGCATCTTTAATTTTTTCCTTTGAAACCACAAAATGCGCAGGTTTGGCTATCCAAGCAGTAGCCGTATCCACAGAAAGCTCAGCAGGTAATTCCACGGCTGGGTTGGCAGTAGGCGTTAGCAGGTTTGGCCAAGCTTCGAGACTTGAAGTGTTCAGCACTCAATACAGGGAAATCCTCCGGCATAGCTTCCAAAAGGCGGAATCTGGATGACGACCTGGTGACCATGGGCGTCACTCCAGTCCCCTGTTTAGTCCGTACCATCCCAAACGACAAGGACGATGAACAGTAGCCGGAGACTCAGAGTCACCACGCTACCAACCTGTAAATACGACGCAGACACAAGAAGAGCTGAATTCTAAACAACACCTAACAGCAATCGTTCGCAAATAAAGGATTCGTAAAACAGTCCTCTGCACGTAAAAATCCTTTTCCGGAGAGACGCTCTCAACACGCGTGAACTCCCATCCTTCATCTGCTCCTAGATCTTACCGATTTCTCCCTTTTCTTTCTTTCTCTCTTTCTTCCCCATCCCCTTTTCTTCTCCCGACTCACTCCTCTTGCGCCTGCAATTCTCCCCCCACCCTCTCTCTTTGCTTTACAATCATGGGTCTGGCCACCTGGATCCAAACGCCGGTCATCTTCCCCAACCTCAATGTCGCTGCCTGGATGTCATTGCCGCTGTTTTTTGGTTTCGCAGAGATCTGAGCGCCGTCTGGTCGTCTTCCTCGACCAAACTCCGGCGAAGAAGAAAAATCTGGCCGGTGTTCCGGTCGTCTTCACATTTCATATAGTGCCGATCTTCTTCATCCAATCCCATGAATTTCATATTTCAATTTCTTGTTCTTATTCTCTTGTGTATTCATGGATTAGATGGGCATGTCAAAATCCAAAAATCACATAAAATCCAAAAAGAGACGTAAGAATGAAAGAAAGGGAAAATAAAGGGAGGGAGGCCTGGAGATACAAGTTGGGCGAAAGGAGTGAAAAGGGAGAAAGAGGAAGGAAGAAGAAAGAAAAGAAAGGGACACAGGATGCACGTGGCACAAAGTGATGCCACGCGTCGCAATCTTCCCCATAACTTGTTGTTTTCCTAGTAAAGAACGGATTTGAACAGTTTTTTAAAGTTAGTGGATTTAATTGAGTTGATGAATTTAATTGACGTTTTTGCAATAGTAGAGGGACTTATTTGACATGTTTACCTATATATATAGAGAGAGAATCAGGTGAGAAGTCCCACCAAAAATAAGAAGTGAGAAGTATCTTTCGCACGACGGTTAGGAACTAATATCGAACACATAAGGATATCATATAAATTAAACTACAATATACTACATATGAACTAATACCTATAGCGCAATACTTATATACGTTAGAAAACTCGTATCTAGCACATAGTATGGAAATAGAGAATCACAAGAGGGAAGTTTTCGTAGCCCAAATAAATTTGTGAAGATAACTGCACCAAATTATAGTTATAAAATGCAGTTATTTTCCAAAACTTATTTGACTGCCTTCTCGATCGAATTTTTAGCTGAATTTTTTTGTGAATAAACTGGACTTGATGAGGAACATGCTCAAAAAGTTTCATCAAAAAATACCACCGAGAACCACCCCAACTGGCAGTGGCCATACGGCGCCTTCTGTCCATCCGGATGGACATGGTCTTTTTCCTATATATATATATAGTCCCGTTCCTATACATATATGGATGTATAGGAAACTCCGTGCGGACAAGCCCGTCAGAGGACGTTCCCGGTCGAATTTTTTATGAATATTTTTAAGCATGTCCTTCATCAAGTATAGTTTACGTCCCCCAAATTTCAGCTCAAAACTCAATCGGGAAGACAATTAAATACATTATTGAAAAAATGAAAACCCATTTTAAAATAAGAACTTCTAATCTTCATCATTAGTTTTTATCATCAATGGCTAATAATGACAAGGAAAGTGATATTTTTGTAAATATTTTGGGATTAATTGCAAAAAAAGTCCATTTGAATTTGGGGTAATTATGAATATATATATATATATATACACACACATGTGTGTGTGTATGTGTACACACACACACACACACACACACACACACATATATATATATATATAAGGCAGTTCATATCAGGAGCCCCTGACTCGAAAAGGACTCTCTCTCTCTCTCTCTCTCTATATATATATATATATATATATATATATATCATTATCATTACCCCAGTGCCACAAAGACTCCCACCTACGGTGGGGTAAGGGAGATCGGATGTACGCAATCTTACCCATGTACTAAAGCACAAAGAGATATTTTTTCCGAATGATCCATAGTGATATATATATATATATATATATATATATATATATATATATATATATATATGCACTTTTCGCTCAACATTTATGATGCACTTTTTCGAAGTGGTAAAAAACATTGATTTATTTAGAAAATTTGCACCGAGTTTTTTTATGAAATCTAGTGCATTGTTGAAGATAAGGTATGTAGGTACGTACCCCCCAAAAGAGATCAATATAAGTTGAATCCATAGTTTGATAGGCAGCCGTTGAGGCCATTGGTGGCTTTCAAGAAGGAAGGAGAGGGGAGCAAGAACCAGAAAAGTGGCAAAGGTGGAGAGGATGATGAGAGAGGAGGGGTGGAAGCCTAAAAGCATGAGGTAGCTGAGCACCACCGAGTTTCCTGCATACAGAAATTGCACCCCTATCAACCCTCCTATCAATCGCATTTCTTCAACCCTCTTTCCCATCTTCAATTCGCGAGCTAGCTTTATTCCCACCCCATTTCATTCGTCCATTCACACATATATACATATAATGGCGGGCCGGTACGCCATTCCTGGCCTTTCCTTTCTTTTTCTACCCACCGCTAGCTACAATATCATAGATATAATCAATTCAATGGCTCAAATATATAGATGCATGGAGTACCCTGGCCTGGCCGACCTTTTCTACATATCTTCCAAAATTGAGTACGTATATATAATTATATACCAGCCATGCATGCATGCAATGGCCTCCTTCAATTCACCACTACGTCTTTTGTAACAATTAAAATTTGTTACCTTTCAGTTTTTTTATATAATTTCCTCTATCATAACGCTATGCAACAATCACTACAACAAAATAGACCTTTTGTAACAGTTTCCTTGTAACACTTTTGTTGTTGTTGCATATAGTATTTTAAGTTTGTATTTTGCAACACTTTTAAATAAGTATTGCATAAACCTAAAAATGATAAAATTATGTAACATTTTATAATAACCGTTGCATATAACTAATCATATGTAACAATCTTCTTGAAACTGTTACAATAGCTATGAGTGACGGAAACATACTCCGTATGTATTAAAACATGTTACAAAAGAATATTAAAACATTTTACAAAAGAAAGAGACTAGGTTTTTTAATACAAAAGAAAAAGTTTTATGAAACAGACTTCTTCATCTTCATACGGGATCGTCTCACGTTTCTTTTTCGAATGAATGTCCCAAACCTTAGTGCTCTCTCTATTATATCTAAAAATAGAGAATAATACCCAGGCGGCAGCCGCTAACTAAGCCAGAAACGAGCTAAGCTTATCCGGCAGAAATCAATGGCGAGGCTTATCAGCGGAAGCCTATGGCGAAGCTTACCGGCGGAAAACTAAGATCCATCACAAGAGGAGTTTACGCGGTAGGGATGTGAGGCGCGATTATCTACTAGACTCCGATCTTTATAAGACCCAACACAAGAAAACTTAACTCGATGCCTCTCCCGTTACCAGGCCATCTCTTCCGCCATATCGAGGTAAACTTGCATTTTTATGCTATTTATTTGAGATTTACTTAATTTGTATACTTAAGGTCTGAATTTTGTAGAAATTTTGGATGGGGTTCATTCGATTGCTGGAAATTGGATATGGAGTGTAATGGTTCGTTTCTAGAACTCTTAGTTTTATAATGCCTTAAAAGTGTTTGTGAAAATGACTCAATGAGTTTTTCAATTTTCAATCTTACTCTTGAATCCCTCCGTCCAGGTGAAGTTCTTTTACACGTTTTGTAGGGTCTATAGGATTTGCTGATACTTCATACACAAGTAGAATTATCACGTGCTTTAACAACCATAAAAATTATAGCTCAATCATATGAAATGATTCCTTTCACACAATTGCTACCATCTTTAGTACGTATAGACCAATAGTCTTCCTTTTAGAGTCTTTACTCATTACATAAAATTATTATTTGTCTAGGATTTCAATATGAAAATGATGCTTGATCATCAATCTCTAATATTTTTATTAACAATGTTTAGGAGAGACAAAAATTCTAAGGGAGATTTCAAGATAAAAGTTTATGCTTTCTTCATAATGCTCTTTCAAAGGTTAGATCTTTGCACAACTTCAATGATGTTCTTTATATAATCTAACTAACTAACTAAGTTCTATGAATGTTTCAAGAATTATACATGGACGGCATAATTCTCAGATTTGAACATTTGCAATGTATCTTAGATCCTGATCTCTCTGATTTCTTCTGAATAAATAGAAGACTATTGATTGGTAATATCATTTTCCTCTCTATTAGTAGTACCCCAAAAGTTGAACAAATTTTTATATTGATTTCTATTCTTTAGAGATTGTACTTTTGGTCTAGGGAGTACAATGTCTTTAATATTTACCTTACATTTGTATTATCAGATATCTGCTGATTTTTGGGCCAACTCATATTTTGTGTTTGTAATAACTGCTTTTCATTATAGTTTTGTAATATAAAAAACTTAACCCAGTCATATTAACAGTCCGAATTGTAATGCTAGCTTATATATTTCTTCTAAACAGGTTGAAATTAAACAAAAAAAGTGATGCTACAAGCTTTGCTTCTCTTTATTCTGCAGAATTGTCTAAGGTGTGATATGTTTGAGTTTCATACTTTTATGTTAAAACCAGGTTAAAGGCAGGGGTTTTTGATTGCTAACTATGCAGGTAAGATTACTATCAATTGGGTTAATTCAGAGTAAGTACTGAATCTAGACTTTCTGTTTATTATCAATCCCTTTATCAAATTTCTTATGTTATATTTTTTTCTTCCCAGAAAATTCTCTCATTCTTTCCAAACTTCACAGGTTTTCATCTCTTATTCATGTAAGTACGTTCATTCTTTGGTTTGGGATTGGAGGTTTTTTTAAAAAAGTTAGGCGTTCCTTTGATGTATATTTTCAAATTGTTCAGATTGTATGCGACTGAATATGAAACTTTATTGTCTTAATTTAATTTGTGTAGCTCTGTTAAATCTTTGCATTTTTTGTGTTTTATTTCAACATGGCTTAGTTTAATTTATTCTGTCGTGAATGGTTCCAGCTACTTGATTTAATAGTTTTAGAGTACATTTTATTAATTACTAGGTTCAGTAAAGGAGGAAGGTGGATAGTAGTTTATTTTAGATCGGGAAAATCAGATGGCAATAGAGTGTTTAAGTGAAAAATGAAAGTCTACAATTAATTGAGGTTTGCTAACATGGGGTGTTAAAAATTAGCCTCCATCTTCCCTTGTAGCCCTTCTTTCTCTACTTACGATTGTTAGGCTAAGAATCAATTGTGAATATTAGTATGATATGTCTCTACTTACGGTTATTAATTTAAGAATCAATTGTGAATATTCACTCACTTAAAAGAACTAAATAGAGTGCTAGAAGTATCTGCTAGTAATAACATCTTTTTTGCAGTGTTGGAAACATATTTGTTGTGTTCGAAATTGCTTTTTTGTTATGTTGCCTTCACTTTGTCCTACCCTCTTTATACCCTTTTTCATCGAATCATAAATGTGCTCTCTGTTGGAATGTCGCATTTCAATGAAATATTGAGCTCCACGGTTTCGCAAGGTTGTATGCACCTTTTTTTGTTGTTTTAAGATTTGTCTAAGAAGGGTGTAGGCTTTAACAAGTACTCTATCCTGATACCCTAGTATGTAACCAAAGTTGGAGATGTCTGGTCGGGTTGTGGTTTCCAATTAGTTCTTATTTATTAGTGTTTTATATTAGTTTAGGGTCTTGGTCCGACAGCCCATCTAAAGTGGCCTAGTTCAGTTTGGTACTTTGTTGGAAAAAGCATAATTTGTTTGGATTTGTTTCGATTTTAAACTGAAATAGAATGCTTTTGTCCAATGCATACACATGCAAGCTTACAATAAGTTATAATAGTAGGGCTGGATTTCGTATAAGCATTTGGTTCTCTGTTATTCTTCCTGGTTTCAGTTTGTTAGTATTGATTCTATAGTTTAAATCCATGTTTTACTCGTGTTGATAGATTACATTTTAATGTCTATTTTTGACCAACTCACATTTTTAGATTATGTAAACTAAGAGATGTTTCTACCTCTCTACTTAAGGTTATTAGTTTAAGAATCAATTGTGAATATTAGTGAATCTAAGTAATTCACTTTGTAGCGCCATCTGGTACAGTAGTGTTCTGTATCTATTATTTGTGGATGTTGTTTGAGAATTTCAGTTGGCAATTGCAGATTAATAGAACCAGGTGCAATATTGCTCTGTATCTATTATTTGGGACTATTTTTGGCTTTTTCTCTAGTATAACCTTTATTAATGAACTGTTTAAATTGAATTCTTCTTCTTAATATAAGCATATTTAGTTATTGTATATTATAAACTACACATTTAGAATGCAACACTGGTATACATCTACCTTTTATAAAAAAATTATTCCTCTGTGGACATGAATACCTTTCAATATATGGTGTATTGTTTTATATTGTAGGTTGAAACACAGGATTATGAGGCACAAAAGAATGCTGAAATAGAAAATGAAATGCGCTAGGAATGTGAGATTGAGAAAGTGAAAATGAATTTGGTTCTATCAAAGCTTGCTCATTCGAGACTTTGATCCAACACTTGAACTCTTGAAATATAGAGTTGAAGAAATGAAGTTACATGTCTTCCGACCATTTGGTTTCCGGCCAGCTAATTAGAAGACTTTTAGTTGCTATCTCTGTGATTTTTTTCTTCTTCAAATTGGACAATGTAACCTTTTCACTTTATGATACATTATTCGAGATGTGTTTAGGATATTCTTTTTAGTATATGGATATTTCTTCATTCCAGATTATGATTATTTTAATACTTTGAATATGATTATTGTATATAAAATTTGTATTAAGTAAATGCATCTTGTTTTACATCTAATGTGTATGTGGCTCAAATTATCAAAATTTTGCTGTAAAATGATTAATATAAGTGTTGCTGATAATTCTAGAGAAGTGTTGTCAATTTTGAAAAAAAATGTTGCCTAAAATATTCATTGAAGTGTTACGAAATATAATTAGTGTTGCAAAATAATATATCAAATATGTTACATATATATTAAAAAGTGTTGCCTAAAGATATATTTTTAGTGTTGCATTTTATTTCAAAAGTGTTGCGTTAGATGCTCGTTTAAGTGTTACAAAAAAGTGTTGCATTTGGGACATTCATGAAACATTTTAAATTCATGTTGCATAATAAGATAAAAGTGTTGCATATGACTTTATGCAACGAGACCTGAAGTAACGCCCGTAAAAGTGTTGCATTAGTCTTTTGTAACACTATAATGATCTAATGTAACATTTTATAGGCGTTGCCAAAGGCTTGTTTTGTTGTAGTGAATTTATTGTGTGCAATGCAAGTAAACCTTTCCTATTTAGGAATTTTATCAATCTGAAACCTGAAAGATAGACGAACTGTTCATTCGGGATCTGAAAGATAAAATGTATCGGTATAGGACTCGAATGATGGTGTCACGCCCCGGACCTAGCCGGACACGTCAACAACCCGCCGTACAGTACGAATAGTCAACCGCAGTCCAACTCATCCATACTATACAAGGCGTCATGAATATCATTCACACATAGTACATCCATAAACAAACATAATGTAAAACATTCATTTAAAACAACGGAAGCATTAATACAATTGTTCAAGCCACACTTGGCATAACTAGGCATACAAGCCC